GTTTTGATTTTAGATTTGATGTAGATGTGGTGGTGGAAATGGACTCACGACTGTGGAAAGATGGTGGTCCGACGACTACAGTCAGGGATTTGGTATGGATCTAGCGTGAATGTGGTAGTGGTTGTGTTGGTAGCGGTGTTAATGGTTGTGGAGATTGTGGAAGTGGCGGTGGAAATGGACTCACGACTGTGGGAAGATAGTGGTCCGGTGGCCGTCGTTAGCGATTTAATGGGATCTAGGGTGAGTGTGGTGGTGGTGATTGTGTTAGTAGTAATGTTAATGGTTGTAGAGCAGTGGTGGGGAACTGAGGTGTGGTGGGTACGGTAGGTGGTGGAGGTGTGCTACTTTGATGCCATAGGTGCGGTGGTGGGTGGGTGAGATGTGGTGGTAACGGTGGTATGTTAGTTCTGTCGGAGGCAATTTCGGAAACGTTACGACTAATGACAGTGGTGAGATGGTGGTCACAAATGATTTGGTTGACTATGACCATTAAATTGATTAATCTATGACCAATAAAAAAGATAAATTGTAACCAAGAAATTGGTAAATTTGTAATATGTGACTTAAAAATTGTGATTGTGGCTCACAATTGATTAAATTGTGACCGAAAAACTAATGGTGACCAATTAATCTAATAATTTGTAACGAATAAATGAGTTGTGACCAATAAAAATTTTGATTCTGTGATCGATGAATAATTTGTGACCTATAAAATTTTTGATTCGTGATCGAAAAATAATCTGACCTATAAATTTTTTATTCTTGACAGTGGTGAGGTGGTGGTCACAAATGATTTGGTTGACTATGACCATTAAATTGATTAATCTGTAACCAATAAAAAAGATAAATTGTAACCAAGAAATTGGTAAATTTGTAATATGTGACTTAAAAATTGTGATTGTGGCTCACAATTGATTAAATTGTGATCGAAAAACTAATGGTGACCAATTAATCTAATAATTTGTAATGAATAAATGAGTTGTGACCAATAAAAGTTTTGATTCTGTGATCGATGAATAATTTGTGACCTATAAAATTTTTGATTCGTGATCGAAAAATAATCTGACCTATAAAATTTTTTATTCTTGATCAAGAAATAAGTTGTGACCAATAATTTGATAAGTTGTAAATAAAAATTAATCTATGGCTAATTAATTAGATAATTGTGACCAATTTATATAGATTGGTGACCTCAATATATTTAATTAGTAAAATATATGTTTAATAAAGTAAATTATAAATAAAATTTTAAAATATCTGATTTTTGAAAGTCGAAACTTTATTTCTTAAATTTGAAATGTGTCATACTTAATATCTTATTTATGAATTTTTCCTTAAATTGAATTGTTTTCAATGGCCCAAATGGTTTTATGATCAGGCTGTTTCATTGAAGTATCAACTTTTAATTCAATCATTTGGTCATTGCCGACTAAGAAAAGTATACTGAGTTATATCATTTCCCTATAAATCGTTTGACAAAAACTTGCCCAACAATTTCTCCATAGTGATAATTGAAGTACTACTTAGAATGCTCACAATAATGTATTTCACAAGTAATATATACAAAAATTGATTGTCATTTATTCGTCAATATATTCTGCAAAATACTATTCGTTGTCTCCATAATCTTCATTGCTCAGATTCGTACGTGTTTATTAAAGCATTACACCTAGTAGATTCAATGACTTGAATAACAAACTCAAGTTGACATTCTCTTCACCATAATGAATTTGAAGGGTGTTAGAATAACTCAAGACTGTAATCATTACATAGATGTCATAGTATTTTTCCTTATGAACAAAAGAAGATGGCAGTTAGAAAAAGCAGAATTTTGGTGTTAGGATTTGAATTAAACCATTTATGACCAAATTAATGTATCAAAATTTAAAAAAAAAAAGCATTTTGTACAGAAATCTTCCTCACAGAATTTCTCCAGACACTCACATGGGTGGGTTCCATGGTGTAATAAAAAATGTCAAAAAAATCACTCACCCTCCATCGTATGTATTTTGTGGCAGTTCTGTGAACAATATTGTCTATACACATAGTATTATTGATCAGAATTAGCTATTATATATATATATATATATATATTGATAAAATTAGAATAATGTAGTTCCTATTTTGGAATGATGACTGTGAAATCTCTTTTCCCAACGGACAGAGACAAGTTGGGCCTAAAATTATTTTGAAAAGAAATTTTTAAATTTAAGAAATTGGAAAGACAGCAAAGAAAGATTAACCAACGGCTTTCGATTGCTTTACCAAATGACATGTCCTTGGATCCCACTTAAGACCTTAAAGGCTCAAGCAACTCACAATGACACTCCTAACACATGCATATGGGACCTAAATTTCATCTTCATAGATTTTCAAAATATTTTCTTGCAAAATTTTGATAAAGAATCTGTAAGTTTTTGAATTTAGCCATCATATCCCTTTTTTCTCGAATAATATTATTTATAATGAAAATTATCAACAGTCGCCCTACGTACCATATATATACCACGTAGGGCAACTTACTTAAATTTCATCTTCATAGATTTTTGAAACATTTTAAAGAATCTGTAAAATTTTTAAGTTAGCCCATATTTGTTTATAATTATTTCAAAACCCTTTTTTTCGAATAATGTTATTTATAGTGAAGAGTGCTAGCAATCATCCTACGTGGACTACGAGGTATACCACATAAGTTGTCTATAGTTTTCACCATGAATAACATTATTTTTTCTCTAGTTCATTTTCTGTCATACATTCTCATAATAAAATATTTTACATGTAAACTCGAAATTGTTTCTAAATTTTGACCACATAATCTCCAAACATTCGTTATTTCAAAACTTATTTTATTGAATAATAATAGACAAAGAGGGGCTCAAGTAGATAACCGATAAATAGATATTTAAAGAATTAGCTTATCGACACATTAAATTGACCATATTCTGTAGCAATAATATATTTTAGTTATGGCATTTGTGTGTGTATATATATATTGAAGAGGTAATCAAACTTTAAATTTATCAAAAATTAAAGTTGATTTGTCATTGTATCCCTGCAAATTTTTTTAAAAATACTAGTTAATAAGTATGTTGAAGTCCCAACTACTACATTTACCTTTACGGAAAAAAAAAAAAAAAAAAGAAAAAGAAAAAAAAAAAGGTTGAACTCCAACTTTGAGAACTCCCACCGTCCAGCCCCTAGAACTTTGTGAGAAAAGTAAATCACGGGATGTGTCCCAACAGACTAAAGAACAAGAGTTGTCTGTACACTGCGCCTATAAAGAGAACCTTTATGGCAAAATTAAAATTATATTCAATCACATTAGACTACTTTGAAAATCGATATTAAGAGGAAAATTATGATAAAGAAACTCAAAAGGTTTACATAATTCTATTTACTACTACATTTATTTTTTTAATTAATTGCCCATGGTTTTGAAATTCCAAGGGTCCATTCCATTATAGTCCCACCGAATCTTATCCTCTAATTTGCAAGTTATATTGCCCAAATTTCATTCCAATAATGATAATGATATTAAAGAAATTAATCATATAAATTTAGCATATAAATATTTTTAATAATGTTATTTTGGTGAACTCAAATTACAAAATTCCAATTATGTAAATAGTGAACAATTACATACAAATAATTAGGGGTGGGCGTTTTTTCTCGGAACTGAATTGGTACTAGATAGAATCAGTAGGTTCAATTTCGATTACTCTACTAAACAGGTCGATTTTGAGATTATGGATCGAGAAATTATCAATTATTGTCTGATTCTAGGTACTAAATGGATCGATATTGTTGTTTGGACTTTCTTAAGATTATTCAAATTCTATCGATTATGTTGTGTTTTATAGTTTATTATTTTTCACATTTATGAATTAGTCTTGTATTTTGGAGTGCATTTTTTTCTTATTTAATTGACTTTTTGTATTTTTATATCATACGAATGAAAAGTGATTTCATACTCTATATTTGTTTATTTTTAACTTGACAAGTATTTTCATAATTTATTTTGATAATTTTGAAATATAAAGAATTGAATCAGACCGAATCAAAATTAGGTGGTTTGATTTCGGTTCGATTCTATAGTTAGATATGAAAACAATGATTCCATTTCTACGATTTCCATTGATATTTGATTCAGTTCTGTTCTCTTTAGAATCGAACGAAATCAGATCGCTCCAATTCTTACAAGTAACATATTTGTTTAGTAGAAGAAAATTTTGCACCGAACCAATATATAGGGGGGAAAAAACAAAAAACAAAAGATTTTCATAATTTTCTTACGTAAATGGGTGGACAAAGTCTAGGGTTGTCCCTACCTCCGACCATGGATGGATGTACACACGATCATAATCAAATACGTAAGAATCTTGATAGAAGTAAGTGTCTTCTTTATTTTTTAAAAAATGTGTAATGAAGTGATTCTCTCTCTTTACAAAATACTTCATTAATTTAAATACGCGTAACAATAAAATTTTGAATGCTTGCTTGCTTGGTTATGATTACAAATTATATTTTAAACAATATTGTTTATAGGCACCATACAGTTGCTGAGTTGTCAGTACTTATATGGTGCATTTTTTTATTGATTTTTGCATTTATTTTGGCAAAAAAAGATTAAAATTTATTAACCAATTAATTTATATATCGGCCATTGAAGTTTATTAACCAATTAATTTATATAACATGTCATCGGTGATTAATATAAAACTCGTTTGGTACAATTAAAAAGTTAATTAAAATCAATTTTTTGATCGTTATTTCACTATTATAATCATTTTTTTTTGAATTCTTCTCTTACAAAAAGGATCCACTATATCTCTAACAGTCAAAAAATTAATTATCAAAATTTTTACCAAACAAGCACAAAAGATGAGTATTATATCATTTGAAGTTTGAAACTTTGAATAGGTTGTCGTGGACCCCACTATAGAAGTGGTAACGAGCTGGCAATACAGACTGTTACACCCCCACGCCTCCATATTTATCCCCCACTCTTCGCTTGAATCATTTGTCAAAAATCCAAGAATTCTTTGTTTATTATCTCCAAGAATTTCTTGTTTATTTTCTTGTATTGTTTAAGCATGGCTGAAGAAACAAAGAAATCTGTTGCTGAGGCTGTGGCTGCAACTGAAGAGGTTGTGGTAACTGATGTGCCGGTGGCTGAGAAACCCACTGAGAAGGAGGCCCCACCACAGCCCGAGGCTGAGTGTGAGGTAGATAAGACTGAGAAACCGGCGTTGGAAGAGGTTGTTGAAGAGAACAAAATAACTGAATCGGCTTCGTTTAAAGAGGAAAGCAACAAGGTCGATGATCTGATTGACCCACAAAAGAAAGCTTTGGATGAATTCAAAGAATTGATTCGGGAAGCCCTTAACAAGCATGAATTCACAGCTCCGCCGCCTGCGGCCAAGGAAGAAGAAAAGAAACCTGAAGAGAAGAAGGAAGAAGAACCAAAACCTGAAGAGAAAAAGGAAGAAGAAGAATCTAAACCTGAGGAGAAAAAAGAATCATGTGAGGCTCCTTCTGGAGTTCCACTGCCGCCTGAACCAGAGGCCCCGGTGGAGAAAAAAGAGGAAGAGAAACCTACTCCATTGGCGGCGGCGGAGCCATCAGAATCAGTCGTTGAAAAAATTGAAGCCACTGTTGAAGAAATCAAAGAAACGATAGTTCATGAAGTTCCACCGCCACCAGCGGAAGAGTGTCCCCCTGCCCCGGCGAAGGAGGAAGCAGCCCAGGAAACAGCGCCACCACCCCCACCACCCGAGGAGGTTTCCATCTGGGGAATCCCACTTTTGGCAGACGAAAGAAGTGATGTAGTTCTCTTAAAATTCCTCAGAGCCAGAGATTTCAAGGTGAAAGAGGCCTTCTCCATGCTCAAAAGTGTTGTCGGTTGGAGAAAAGAATTCAAAATTGATGAATTTCTGGAAGAGGAATCCACTGGAGAGGGCCTTGAAAAGGTTGTGTACATGCATGGAGTTGATAAAGAAGGGCACCCCATTTGTTACAACGCATTTGGGGAATTCCAGGACAAGGATTTGTATAATAATACTTTTTCTGATGCTGAGAAAAGAGCCAAGTTTTTGCGATGGAGGATTCAGTTTCTTGAGAAAAGTATAAGGAAGCTTGATTTTAGCCCTGAAGGTGTTTGTACAATTGTCCAAGTGAATGATCTGAAAAATTCCCCTGGACTTTTCTTATTCAAGAAAGAACTCCGCCAGGCCACCAACCAGGCCCTCCAGCTGCTCCAGGATAATTATCCTGAATTTGTTGCCAAACAGGTATAATTTCACACCCGTTATCCAATTGAAGTTAACAGTTTTAATCTTTTAGATGAGCATTTCAATTCGAAAATTATGCACGAGTTAAATGAACAAACATGTATCTTCTCTTAACAGTTTAAGATTTTTGACGAGGTATATGTTAAATATCTGACTTTTATTCGTGCGTTGGTGGTGGAAAAAGGTGTTCATCAATGTTCCATGGTGGTATGTGGCCTATAACAGGATGATTAGTCCATTCTTCACCGAAAGGACCAAGAGCAAGTTTGTATTTGCAGGCCCTACTAAGACTGCTGAAACCCTCTTCAAGTTAGTCCTTAAATTTATTTTCATTTGATAAATAATCACTTTTTTTGTTCAAAAATTATGCAAGATTTAATGCAGAATTTTAATCTGGTATTGGACTGTGAAATTATCAGATACATAGCACCTGAGCAAGTACCAGTTCAATATGGAGGCCTCAGCAGGGATGGTGAACAGGAATTCACAACTGCTGATCCTGCAATTGAGGAATTTATCAAGCCAGCATCCAAGCACACTATTGAATTGCCAATTACTGAGGTGAGCAAGTCTATGAAATTAGTGATTTTCAACCTGCAAAAAGGATACATTGGCAATAATTCTGAGTTTGAAATATATTATAGACGAGTCTTGGCTAATAAGTTCACATAGTGGTTAATAAAATGGGATTTGGCAAATGATCCCAGTTTTTCTGAGTAAACCATAGCTTATTATAAATACTTGTGGACAAAGCCCTTGAGACGTTGTGGTTTTTGGGCAAATTCCATCTCTTAAGGAGTCAATGCACGTTCTTGTTATCTTTTCAGGATTTAGTTGCTTTTTGGGATTATATTTAGAAATTCTCTTGAAAATGATTTTTGTTTTGATAATTTTCAAATTTTCCTCTATTGCTAGGATTTTGGTTGCGTTGTATAAGCAGGATCACTATGATTATTGTTATAAAAAATTGGATCTTCCCAATTGTTTGTCCAAAACTCTCATTATTACGAGAGAATCAACGAGTTTTCTATGATCATTTCCTGGTATAACGACTGAATCACAGAAACTAGACAACTGTTTCTGAACTACACGCTTTCGTGCATCAACAATGCTTTTTCTTTTTTCTTTTTCTTTTTTTTAGAAAATAAAAATCTGTTTTCATTTTGTTGGATTGGCAGGCATGCACATTGGTTTGGGAGGTGAGAGTGGTAGGCTGGGATATATCCTATGGAGCTGAGTTTGTCCCCAGTGGTGAGGGTGGATACACTTGGATTGTACAGAAATCAAGGAAGATCGGGCAATCTGATGAACCGATACTCAGCTGCAGCTTCAAAGCTGGTGAACCTGGCAAGATTGTGCTCACATTGGATAACCAAACTTCTAAGAAGAAGAAGCTCATCTACAGGTCCAAGATTAAGTCCTCTGATTGAATTCCTTTCTGAATAAATATAATGCAGTAGAATCAGAAGGGTCCCTTCTGTTCAATTTATATATATTCTTTGCTTTTGAATTATAATATCTTGGGGAAGTCATATTTGAATATTTGTTCTTGGTTTTCTTTAATTAAAATTTCTATGTTGGATTGTATGGTTTGGAGCATGTTTATTATACAAGACTCTCGACGGGATGACGATGAAGGAGAATTTAACTTATATTACTGTCAAGTAAGTCGAACGTGCCGACAGACCTATATACAGTGGGTTGGTTGCTGTAAAATTTATGTAAATTTGATATTTTGTTCTTACCCTTTGTTTCTTTTTAATGGATGTTGATATTTATTGGATTCTTTGTATACTTTTGTCATTTTGTTTATTCTTATGAATAGTCTTTCATTTCATTGCAGAAAATGACAATCTGTCAAATTCTTGTTTAATTTGAAAGTTAGATTTGCCAGAATAAGCAGATACAACACCAGATTTTGCTCATTTCTTGTTTTTGTAGTTTTGCGTTTGCTTTTCAACAACTTGCGCTAAGAAGAAAACATAAATGACTTGGTAAACCTACTTAAGACCTTGTTTGTTACCCATTATTTGAAAAATTAAAGAGTTATGAATAGTATTTTTTGGAGGATGTTTGGTTGAAAAAAAAAAAAAACTTTATTGTTTTACGTGTAAAAAATTTTATTGTGTAATGAAGTGGAGAATGATATTGTAGTAAACAATTTAAAATTTTAAAAAGTGTCAAACAAAGGCTAATTCTAGTGGAAATTTTGTGATAGTAGTAGTTCCCAACTAATTATTTCAATAGTAAGTTGGTTTCTAATATTTGAAGTTGTGCAATTTGGTCCCTTCTTTATATTTGCTGCAGTTAGTCCCTATCTTTTGCTAAATTGATTTCTTGCGTTCTCGTCTAGTTTTATGAAGCTGAGTTTTATTTTCCAACTCGAAATGATGTGCAATAAATTTGCTAAGTCTTGTTTCTATTAGGAATTTTTTGAAGAATTAGACTCTTTCGTTTATATTTTGCAATTATAATAAAGGTAAGGGACCAACTTGGATTTTTTTGAAGTCACAACTTTTTACCCCAGCAATTAGCCGGGGATCAGTGGTGCAATTTTTTCCTAATTCTAGAAAGAAAATATCTTATGAGTTTCTTAGAGCTACTTTAAAAGGGCCATCCATCTTCAATTGAGCTAAATTCTAATTTTATCAATTTTTTTTTTTATCAAGTCCATTTTTACTCACGCATTCTTCCATTAAAATAATTTTGCGCATAAATTTAAAAAATTTTCCTACTTTTTATCCACAAAAATACTATTAAAAAACTCAATTTTAAGAAAAAACTTTCTTATAAATTCTCACACTCAATTTTTCTTCTTAAAATGTATAGAAACAAATTATCTATTTGATATATACTTTTGAGAATAGATTTCATAAAAAAATAATTATTTTGAAGGACATATGATAAATAATAAAGAAAATTTATGAATTCACACTTAAAATTATTAGATTAAGAAAATGTAATAATTTAACATAAATTTGAAAGAAAAGAAAAATTTTAAAAATCACTACCAAACAAACAAAGGCAAAAATTCTTGGTATAAATAAATAATTAGAAGGGCGCTGCTTCATGTACAGGTAGCGTCCCTATCGAGTACTCACAACACCGAGGGTAGGTGGGGCTTTTGGATTTTTTTATACAGATGTGTCCTGCATTTTAGTGTGAGTATTGTTAGGGGTTCTCTAACCCTACTCCTAGTAAACCAGCAAAATTCTAATTAGAAATGCAATGAATCACTTGTAGAAAAAGAAAAGGCAATGCATATCAAGATGCTTTTTTGGCACGTAGTTAGAAATGACTTTATTTTATGATAATACGATTTCCATGTTGTTTGTCTTAAAGTTAGGTATTTTAATCATTAATCGTCCATCAACTTTAATAAAATAAATAAAGTGGTTGTTTAAGTGTTTGGTTAAAGTGTTTTTTTCGGAGATTACACTAATATTTTTATCGTATAGAATCTTTTACACACTCGAGGATTACTAGAATGAAGTGATCATTAAGGTTAAACTCTCACGTCATTTAAAAAACAATATTTTCCCAAAAAAATTGATTTTTTAAGATAAGGTCTTAAGATTCGACTTGATATTCAAGTTTAAAAATCTTAGACAAGTAATTTAATGATATTTGCATTATTGTATCGACTAATTTCAAATTGAAAAGAAAAGGGGAAATTTTTTTGATTTGGGTGTATACTTTGTTACATTGGATAGAATTATGCTGAGTTTGTCGTTGTAATTTTAAAGACAATTCATGTCTATGAAAAGAGAATTAAACAAGAGAAGATTCTTGGTCGATGTATAACTTGAAAAGAAAACAAAAACTTGTATCATATTCAGTAAAGTAGATTGAATAATATTAAAAGAATTAAAATTCATAAACATGCTATTAAAGAGGGATATGATGTAACACGAGCAATCTTAAGGTTTGAATCATGAAAGAGGAGCATGATGTAACATGAGTAATCATAGTGTTTGTGCTAACATTATTAAAGGTTTTCCATGAAAATCATAACATTAAAGAGTAAAAGTTTTATATCAAAGATAGAATTCCAAAGGAAAAACTTTAAATTAGAATAAAACTTTCAAGCATTAGCACTTGGTACTTGTAGCAATGTTAGGTGGGATGAGCCAAGTAATAATTTACCATGTGGGGTTATTCTAAACAAACAGGTCCCTGGCGCCCCCTATTGGAGGGGGCGTCAGCCCCTGTCACAGTAGTAGGTCCCACCATGTGAGCCTCTCGTCCACTTACGCATGAGTCAACTAGTCATACCTCTACTTATCATATGATACTTCTCTCGTTAGACAAATTTGAATTAGTTGTCACGAGTTCAATTTTTATTAACGAGATACAACAACAGCAAATTGAAATTATGTTTTATAGATATATAATGAATTGCAAAATTTTTTTTATCATGTTCATTTATTGTTACATTTGTTGGTAGCTTGGCTAATAACATTATGTTCTACTTTCTTTTTTCTATATAACATGAGCTACAATTCCCATCTTATGTGAGAGTAAAAAAGTACGATGTGTGCCCTCATCTTGACAGTTTATACTGCAACTAATGAGAAAGAACTGTATCGTCCTAACTAGTTATTTCTCAACATTTAAAAAGGACAACAATTATAATATGATCAATCAAAATTTTTATCAAATAGAGTATTACGCGGAGACAAATGGTGTAATTTTGTAATGCAAAACGAATTCAATTTCAAGATAATTACAAAAAATAGCAAGTCAAAGAAGAATTAACTATAGACAAATAAACACAGTTCATGACATACATTCTCGGATTCCTGAAAAATCCTTTTCAGCATTTATTGGTTTGGACATTGTGACATAGTTTTAGTAAGGGTTCAATCTTTTTTTTAGTAAAGAAAAATTCCAAAAATCCCTCGATTTGACACCCGATGTTAGCGCCTCTTGGAATTGAATTGTATCAAATTTTATCATAAAATACCACCTCGTGACTCTCACGTGAAACACACACACATACATATGTGTGTGTGTCCAATTACCCTATTTGTACAGTCATAAATGACAACCTTTGTTGGTATCATCACATCCATTCATTTTTTAAATTGTCAAAAACTATTTTTTAAATCATTGGCTCGAATTTCGCCACCTCCAGCATTGTCAATAATATTTGTCAATTAATATTGTACAAATAACTTAATTCATATATGTCAAAGATATAGAACGTGTTTTATTATGCTTAAAAGTAAGTCAAAAGAAATTTCAAGATGTTGAATTAACTCAATGTTATCATAAATATTCTCAAATATGATTATTAAATTTAAATTTCACTAATAAATTTTCTCTTTTTTTTTTTTTTTTTGCCTCAACTTACTATTTAGACTTTTATGCATTGCCAAACAAGCTTTATAATGGTCAATTGTATTTTTCATTACAAAATCATTATTATGCAATATATCCTGATGCGCATGTAACTTTGTCCCTTAGGAAGAAAAACTAGTAGTCGCAATTAGGGTTGGACAAAATTCCTAAATCGAATCGAATCGAGCGATTCTTCTCAAATTAACACCCAAACAGGTATCTGAATCGAGAACCGACGAGTTTGGTTCAATTCTCGGTTCTAGATTAATAACCGAAGAACCGAATAAAAATCGAATCTCTCTAATTTTTTTAATTAATTTATTTTAAATAAGTCAAATTATTTTATTTTTCTAAATAAATTAGTTAAGTAGTTAATTTAGTTCAAACCCAAAAATATGATATTTTCCTATTTCTAATTTTTAGTTCATAATCAACTCAATCAAATTGATTTAAATTTTATCTAAATTTACTACTCTACCGTGGTGTCATTTCTACCGCTCTAGAGAAATCGAATTGAAACTTGACAAAACCTTTCTTAATTATTTTGAGCTCGCTATTTTCCTCTTCCTGTAATTTTAACAATCAAATATATAAACAACTTAGCAAAGAGAGATGCAAAAGGTACATAAGATTGGACTACGTTATTTTATAAAAACTAAAATTGAACATATCATTAGATGAATTAATGTAACTTTGTAAATATTAAAAAATTTAATTATAATATGGAACCTGGAAATCGAATGGAACCGAACCGAACTAAACAGAACTGAATGGAACCGAACCCGAACAGTTCTATAATTAAATTTAGACCCGACGATTTCACTTATTAAATACCCGAAACATTCGGGTACGGTTCGATTCTCGTTAGAAACTAACATAACACGTAGTTTATGTCTCGTTAGCAATGAACTATATGGACGGACTGGAATAATTCATGTAATTAACTCTTAATTTTATTGAAAATGACAAAAAAAGGATTCATGAAACTGACTTCCACTCAAATGAGGCTTAGTTTGTAAACGATAAATTTAATTTCTTACCAGATCATTACAGCTGAGTCATGTCGAGTCGAGCAACAAATTTACTATGTGAGCCTCTCGTCCATTCATGTATGAGCCAACTAGTCATACCTCTTACTTATCATATGATGCTTCCCTCGTTAGACAAATTTGAATTAGTTGTCACAAGTTCAATTTTTATTAACAAGATACAACAACAGCAAATTGAAATTATGTTTTATAGATATATAATGAATTGCATAATTTTTTTTATCGTGTTCATTTACTGATATATTTTTTGGTAGCTTGGCTAATAACATTAGGTTCTACTTTCTTTTTTCTATATAAAGTGAGCTACAATTCCCATTTTATGTGAGAGTGGAAAGTACGATGTGTGCCCTCATCTTAACAAGTTTATGCTGCAACTAATGAGAAAGTGTTGTATTGCCCTAACTAGTTATTTCTCATCATTTAAAAAGGACGACAATTATAATATGATCAATTAAAATTTTTATCAAATAAAGTATTACACAGAGACAAACGGTGTTATTTTGTAATGCAAAACGAGTTCAATTTCAAGATAATTACAAAAAATAGCAAGTCAAAGAAGAATTAACTATCGAACTTATTCTCATTTCAAGAGTTCAAGTTCGATTGATGTGAAGTCAAAAGTATTTGCTTACGACAACTCCATATTTAATTTTGGCAAAAATCAAATCTTTAATAGATTTTGATAAAAATTGATGAAACATGTGGTTAAAAAATTTATAAAAATTATGAATCTCATGAAATATGAAATTAAAATTAATTGTTAATTTTTACTTAAAATTTTAGTTACTTTTCTATCTAAATCAAATCGGGACAATATTTCACCAATTTTGGGTGCAAAATAAACACAGTTCTTGAAATACATTCTTGGATTCCTGAAAAATCCTTTTCAGCATTTATTGGTTTGGGCATTGTGACATAATTTTAGTAAAGAAAAATTCCAAAAATTCCTCGATTTGACACACGACGTTAGCGCCTCTTGGAATTGAATTGTACCAAATTTTATCACGAAATTCCACCTCGTGACTCCCACGCGAAACACATAAATATGTCCAGTCACGCTATTTGTACAATTATGGATGATAACTTTTGTTGGCATCATCAAATCCACCTATTTTTTTAAATTGTCAAAAACTATTTTTAAACAATTGGTTCGAATTTTGCCAACTCCGACATTGTTAACAATATTTGTCAACTAACATTGTACAGATATCTTAATTCGTATATGTCAAGAATATAGAACATGTTTTATTGTGCTTAAAAGTAAATCAAGCGTAATTTCATGATGTTGACTTAACTCCTCGACGTTATCATAAATAAATCAAGCGTAATTTCATGATGTTGACTTAACTCCTCGACGTTATCATAAATTTTCTCAAATGGGATTTTTAAATTTAAATTTCACTAATAAATTTACCTTTTTTTTTTTTTGGTAAAGTAAGCCTTAACTTACTATTTAAACTTTTAAACATTTGCCAAACAAGCTTTAAAATGGTCAATTGTAATTTTCCTTACAAAATCATTATTATGCAATATAACTTAGTCCCCGTTTGAGCCTCATTAATTTTCATTACATCACATTTCATATTTATCTCTCCTATTTTCAATCACACAATATTTCATAAAATAATATTACACGTAAATCGAAATTTTTTCCTTTTTTTCAACCACTCATTTTTCAAAAAAATAATATTCCACCCATTAATTTTTCCATATAATGGGGCCAAACAGGGGCTTAATGTGCATGTAACCTTGTCCCTTAGGAAGAAAAACTAGTAGCTGCAACTATAACTGATGCGTGAAGAGCATATCCAATCGTGGTGTAAAATAGATCTAAATTGTGATTTAGAATTTCAAAGTGACCAAAAATCTCTGCAATAAAAATGTACAAACGAAATGCAAATTACATTAATGTAAAAGAAAATGTAATTTTACATTTATTTATTTATTTTTTTTTTACATTCACAAGAGGCAAAAATAAATTTAAATTTTTTATTGGAGCAAAATTTGAAATTTAGATTCATCAAAATTTACATGAAAATATAAAGGTTTTTGTCATTTGTACAGAAGATTTTTTCACAGAAATGATACAGCTACTCACATGGGATGTGGGCCTCATGTAAATAAATTATTATAAAAAATCCACCCATCCCTCTTGTATCTATTCTCAAGCAATTCTATCAACTTTCCTTCTGTCCGTGTAGTCTCTCTCAAATATAAAGGTAATGTTTGAAAATACCAATGAATACACTCAACATGTCTGACAACAAAATATGTGCTGGTTGGCCTGTCTCTCCTTCACTGCACATCTTGTCCTAATCTGGACACATTTTTAGTCCCTCGCTCAAACACCTTTGTTGCATGTTACACCCACCACAATTCTTGACCAAGCAAGAAGATTTGATTGAAGCTTGATTATAAAATTACATAAATACCCACTATTAAAACCGACTATTAAAATTCCGCATGGATGCATTTTATAAAGGAAAATTTTCTTGACAGAAGAATTCCAGATACTCAAATGGGGAGTGGACCCCATGTGAGTAAAAAATAATTCAAAAAATAACTCACCCACCCACCCCATGTAGTGTATATTCTGTAAGGGCTATGTGAAGGGCTGCCCTTCTATATCTTAAGTAGTAGACACAATGCAGTAAAGCACTTGGTTAGGGATGAACTGAGCATGGCATAATAATATTAAGTCGATTTAACTAGACAATATAACGAACAAGATTATATAATTTGTTTTCTCTTTCTTGATATGTCAAGTGAAATCCACTGTTCCTACCAAACATATCACAAGTGTGTGAAGAGCATTGAGAATATGACAAAGTTGTCATCATTATTCACAGAGATCTATGTGACAGTGAGATCATTGTTACATTATCCAATAAAGTTTGAATACATTTTTAGACATTGGAAAAATCGACAATAAACAATGACCCCACTGCCGCATGGACTAATGATCGACAAACAGAGTAACACTATTCATAATGTTCCCAAGCATCATAAATATCTCTAGAGTCTTAATAAAGGAGCGTTGAATCTCTTGATATCTAATGTGGAAAAAGCAAAAGGTCAACTTCATAGAAGTAGTTCTGTCGAATGGATTGGCCAGGCCGTTAAATGAGACGCCTGGGCCGACCCGAAGCCCAGTTTACATTGTTCTTCTGGCCCAACTTGATCCGGCACACTGCCAAGCCTATTGGGGGCAACAATGAAATTTGCTACCAGAAACAAGAATATCATTTGCAGCCACGAGAATAAATGTGTAGATTCTAATCCCAAGTTTGTAACCATAGAGACGAAAGAGATGAATATCTTGTTCAGATTCAATATTACAGATATTAGCTCTTGGGAGACTGCAAAAAACTCAAAATTCATATGCATAAGAGGGTCGACTACTTAAATCAATTTTTGTTGGAATGATATCAAAATATTCAAAGGAAATGGAGAAGAGAACAAAAGACGAAGTAAAAACACATCTGTGATATCTATTTTATATGATAGTCAAGTCACATTAGCAAAATCATACGATGAAATACACATCAAAAAGCTTAGACATGTGAGTATAAGATATGAATACGTAAGGAAATTAATCAAGAGTGAAATAATTTCTTTGAATTACGTTAAGTCAAATGAAACATCTCAATAGAGATTTAGCCCTTATTGAGCCCCATTTTGGGGAAAATGTATTTCAAAATAATAATTTTTTTTTTAAATATATGATTAAAAAAATTTTAAAATTTTAATTTTTGCGTAAAATTATTTTATTGAATAACGTATGATTGAAAATAGTTTTTTTCCCTAAGAAAAAGAGTTTTTAAAAAATGAGGCTCAAACAAGGGCTTAGTAATATTTAATTCGAGTAGGATAAGATTGAAACTCTTAAAATGACAACGGCATTACTTGTCATTACTAAAACAATAATCCACGAATTCAAACGATAACAAAAAGTCATTGGATAAGTGAATAGTTTTAGCATTATAATTTTCATAAGAACCCTATCCATGCCTTTGTTTGAGCCTCATTATTTGGAAAAAGTACATTCTTAAATAGTATTTTAATATCATTTCAATCGTACATTTTTCAGTAAAATAATATTATACGTAAATTCAAAACTTTTTCTTATTTTTTAATCACACATTTTTCATCAATATACTATTCAAAAATTCATTTTCCCCCAAAATGGGACTCAAACAAGGGTCATATTGTATAATTCTTATTGCTACTAATAGAAGGTTGCCAAGTACAAATATCTCTAAAAGTAACAAAATACTTGAAGAACGTCACCTAGATGAATTTCGAGGTGATGCCACCTCAGCAGAGAGTTAAAGTTTCTTTCTTAAAAGTTCAAATTAGGCTTTATTAATGCTACACGAGTTTGGAGAACTTATGAATACATAACATTTGTCTATGTGCTTTCATCGGAATTATCACAAAAAATAACTTATTTCAAACTATCATGCTACCTGAAATTTCGAGAATACTTTGTAAAAATTACATTATGGTTAAATTCAAATCAAAATATACCTAATCCTTACGCATGGATGTTGCTAATTTGAATATGTGATTATTATATAGTTGAACAAGATGATTGTTGCAATGTTGTTCAATAATATATTAGTAAGTTATTTAGAATAATCAAAAAATACACACGAGTGTATCAAGTACGTGCAAAAACAACCGAAAGAAGGAAAATTAGGCTAGGCAATTGCTCAGCACAAATTCGGGCGATCGCCTAGCACAATGTTTGTTCCTCGAGTTCCTGAAAGAGAGGCTGGGCGAAATTTCCCTTCTTCCGTTTGCTTTTGCACTTACTTAATACACACATTTTTTGATAATTCCAAATCACTCATTATTATTGAAAAATATTATAACATTTTCTTAGTTCCATTCAACTTAATACTAACAATTTCAAATATAGCAAACTCAATACGAAAATATTTCAAACATGTCAAGGAATGTATAACATGAAAAGTAAAATTAACACATAACACAAATATACAACACAAAAAACAGACAAATTCCGAACCACAGAGTTCCACTGTTGTACTACTACATTCTCTCAGCAAACATTCCTACTTTAAACCATCTCTAACATACATGCTAAGTCAATCTATAGACAGAATGACCAGCTACAGGTGAAAATGCATGAAAGAACCCGCAAATAGAAAGTCGACTATCAACTCAAAAACAACATTCTATCAACAACACAAAGATAAGGATGGTACGCGAGAAATATTCAGAATACCCATAATTTGATGCTAAGTTGAAAGTAACACTTTGACAGTTAAGGATCATTAATTATCATAGGGAAAGACCTTGAATCTGTAAAGCAGCTTCTTCTTCTTTGCTGTAGGGTTGTCAACAGTGAGTAGGATCTTACCTAGCTCGCTAATTTTAAAACTGTTAGAGACTACAGGCTCGTCTGTGGCAGCCATCTTCCTCGCCTTCTCTATGATTACAGTATAGCCACCTTCAGCATTAGGCACATACTCAGAACTGTAGCTTACTTCCCAGCCGACCACACGAAGCTCCCAAACGATAATGCATTTCTGCAGATCAATCAGATACCAAATTATAAGGGGAGCAATTTAATCTTTCATTTCCATATAAAAACATCAAAACGATGCGTATCCTATCATCCGAGGGTTAAAAATACTGTTAGTAGTGTCGCTTCACTTTGGTCGTCAAACCTTTTCTTTTTCAAAATTAGTCAATGAACTTCTATTTTTGTTTCTATTGAAGCATGTGCTAATAAACAGAAATGCCAACATGGCTAATGTAAAATATCACACCATGAGAATCTGTTAGTGCAACATTTTTATTGTCTAACAGATCAAGAACACGTCTTGGACTAGTTTTACTTCGAAATCTGCTTTCTCCAAGAGTAACAAAAATATATAAAAACGGAAAAATCTTAGTCTTCTTAAGGACACCCTCTCCGCCCACTGCACTACGTCAACATTTTCGTTAGCTAAAACTTGTTGACTAATTTGGAGGAAAAAATTCCAGCAATGGTACAAGTTGAGAGACTCCCTCATTTGCAGTTGAATTTCATGAAACACATAAGAAAAACACAAGTAGTTAGTAACTGAACCTCATTAACTATAATTTCTACGGTCTGCTTGGTTGCTGGTTTTACAGTAATCTCGGTGGCTGGATCATCAACAGTGAACTCTGGGTTGCATTCACAGAAATCTATACTAAGGCCACCATATTGAATAGGCACATGCTCAGGAGATATGTACCTGTGTCACCATTTATCAACCAAATTATGCAACCAACCAAAAATCATAGTACAAAAGCAATAATTTTCAGTGGAAAATACAAAATTTTTACATACTTGAATAGAGTTTCTGGAGTTCTCGATGGGCTAGCAAACACAAACTTGCTTTTCGTCCGCTGGGTCAAGAACGGACTCATCATCGTGTAGAAAGCCAAGTACCACCAAGGAACATTGATGAACACCTTTTAAAACAAGCCACAAGCAATTACTTAAGTTAAAACATTAAATTGGACAAATCAATGTAAGGTGATTATTGGACTTCATAGATCACCATAAAACACAAGCATCTTTTTTTATTCCATATCACCTTGAATTCACTATGCCAAACATACCAAAAATATTTAAACAATTTTATGTTTCTTTTAAATGAATTAAGACCAATGTCCTCCACCTAAATCCTAAACAGACAATAGGAACAACATTAATGTTCTCATTTATGTATTCATACCAGTGCAACAAATTTTTGACTTCCAAGATTCTATTTTTATCTCTCAAGACGTAGGATAAACATATACAAAACCAATGATTGAATTCTTAAATCATTCCCCATTCGAACCCGCACATTTAAAAAACAGATCATTACACAAGATTTCTATAAATTGGTTATAACTATCAGTATACCTGTTTTGTCACGAACTCAGGATAATTGTCCTGCAGAACCTGCAATGCCTGTTTAGTGGCAATGCGAAGCTCCCTTTTCCCTGGTCCAGGGGAGTTCTTGAGATCACTAATTTGAAAGATAGTGTTAATGCCACCAGGAGTAAAATCCAGATTCCTTATACCCCTTTCAAGAAATTGAATCCTCCATTTCAAAAATTTCTTTCTTTTTTCGTCGTCCCCAAATGTTTTTGCATACAATTCCTTGTTCTGAAATTCCCCGTACACATTATAACACACTAGATGCCCATCCTTGTCTTGCCCGTGCATAAATACAACTTTTTCAAGATCATCTCCCAAATCTTCCTTTATCAGTTCGTCGATATTGATTTCTTTTCGCCATTTTATAGTGTTTTTCAGCATGGTGAAAGATTCTTTCACCTTAAAGTCTCGTGCTCGTAGAAACTTCAGCAATATCACATCACTCCTATCGTCTTTAAGTAAGGGCACGCCCCAGATGGATACTTCTTCGGGTAAATTCGAGGTATCTGAGGGCGATGCCAAGGTGAAAACGCCGGTGTTAAGTGCCTCCTGGACGAGGGTTTTGAATTCTTCTAATGCTTTACGCTCGAAATATGAGAGATCTGATAGTTTATTGCTCTCTTCTTTGAAAGAAACCAGTGATTCTGGAGCTTTTTTCTTCTCCATTGATTTTGATTTTTCGGGTTCGACTACTTCTTTCCCAACTGGTGATTCAGACTCTTGTGGCACTTCCAGTGCCGCAGCTAGAGGCTGTGATACTGGTGGTGCTGGGATGGTTTCCTTTTCAGTGGAGGTGACGGATACAAGCTCCGCCCCGAGCGTCGGTGATAGAGGGGTATCTTTTTCTATAACAGTGACGGCTTCTTTGAGCCTCTCCTCGACTGTGAGTGGCGGTTCACTTGGTGGTGGCGCCTCTTTCTCTGATGCAAGAGCAAACGACGCCAGTGGTGGCTCGGTTTCTTCTGAAAAAGCAGATTCCGGCGGTGATGAAGTTGCGAGCGGAACCGTCTCCGCCGTTAACGGCGACTGCTGGGTGGCTTCCGGTGGAGCTGTCTCTAGGTTCGAATCTGCCATTTTCCTCGATGGTGATGGTGAGAGATAGGGAGTGTGTGTTCTGTAGAATAAGTAGAAGAAGTGATGAGGATGAAACCGATGAAGTAGCGGCCAGATTGTGACAGTGTTCATTTTTGTTTCATTTATAATTTAAATAGAAATAGAAAAATGTTTATAATTAGCAAATTAATTTAAATAGATGTTAATTTAAATTTTCTTAATGACGAATTTATTTGAGATATTACAAAAATCAAATTAAATTTTGTTCTTTAGCTGAAATAGAGAACCAAGTTAAAAAAAAAAAAAACTCTTCTGTTATCCAAAAATTAATTAAATTAAATTAAATTACAAGACAATTTACTCAAAAGTTTAGCCATGTTTAGTAGGAATTCAAATTCTAATTCAAATTTTAAAAAAAGTCAAAAGTAACAATTAATTTTAATCACATATTTTATGAGATCAATGACTTTTCAATCACATATTTTATAAAATTTTATTAAAAATCTGATTTTAATCTCAATCCAGCAATAACTTAGCACCCGTTTGTTTTCCATTCTTTTCCTCATTAAAATGAAAAATATGGCCGTTATTCATCACATCAAGCCACCAAATTTGAATTTTTATCTTCTGTGTGGGGTTCGTAACGATTATATTTTTCATTCTTATTCTTCCGAAAATGGGAAACAAACGGATCCTTAATAAAAGAATACTAAATTTGAATTAGATTTCGTTTCTTTATCTAAAATCAATAATCAAAGTAATTGTCTAATTCTTGATTCTAATATTGAAAATGGGTTAAACTTTAGAAATTTTATAAATCAGTCAATTTGATCGGAACCGATCTAGCGTGAGTGGTTTTTGAAAAGTGAAAATATGTCTTTAATTTTGAGTAAAATAAGTTAGAAATAGGAATTTATACTTTAAAATCAACCTTACATAATATAAGTAGTGAAATATTTTTATAATTAAAATCAGCATATTTAAAAGCAAAAGTAGAATATTTTACAATATTGAAATTAGTATACTTAACCCGACGTATATATTTTAATGTCAAAAGTAAAATGAGAACCAAAAAAGTAATATATTTTATAATTTTTGACAAAAGATAAGGATTATTATTATGGCGACAAGAGTCAAAGCAGTTCGTGATGTGTTCTGTCATTAGAGTTGACACGACGAAGTGGCGGGATTGGTGGAAAAGAGAATCCTAGGTTAGGTATACCTTAAACATTTTGGGCCGCTACTTCGTCAAAGGCCCATTAAATATTTTGACTTATGTAACTCAGAGTACAGAAGTTCGAGCTCAGCTACAAAATTCGGGATTAAATCCTGGATTTAAATCTAGATTGGGGTGGTCGCTATCTCGTTCTTTGATCTTGAATTTCATGGGACCCACAACATAATAATCAAGGGTCGAGGTATTGCCGACACCTTGACCTGTCAACAAGGCCTGTCATTGGCCCTGTTTGAATGGTAAAACTCAATTCAAAATTAGCAAACTTTTCGATATAATTAACTTGAAATGAACAGTTGCGATGCGAGTTTTGATGGAATACAAAATGATTACTGCTCACTAATGAGAAAATCCTATTTGCTTGAGATTTCCTTTTAATTGATTTTCTGCTAGTTTAATTTAATTAGTTCTAATGGTAAAGATTAATTATTTTTTTTAAAAAAAAGCTAACTTATAAGTAAATTTTCTTAGCTTAGTTTATGATATTGTGTGAGAGAGCACGTCAAACATAACGTGAAGGATAGTTGATCGTAGTGCATTCTCATGTCTTTAACAGTGATAGTGAAGAGTAAATACAATTCACTATCGTATCTCGATGAGTACGCTAGAAAAATCTTTTCGAATAATACTCACGAATAAACAAGGAAATACTAACAAGTATGAACATGTATTGCTAAACTTAATAAACAATAAAAATATTTTTTTTTTTAAATGTATAGATTTGCTTTTAAAAGTAAATCTTTGACAACTAAAAAGCTAGAAAAAACAAGTAATTTCTTAACTTTTTAAATAAAATAAAACATCAAATGTGCTATAAGTCGAAAAGGATTGTATTGAAATTTTAAATATTTTTGTTGCCTTTATTTTTCCTCGAAGATTTTGTTTTGAGGATATTATCTTAAACCTTACTTTAAAGTTTCGATTTTATAAATTATTTAGTAATTTCCTTTTCCAAAAATCAAGTATATCTGGCAACGACACACCTCATCCCATCCCATTCCATCCCATTCCACTCCCACTTGTCTGTAATTTTTTTACCTTTTAATTTTCTCTAGTGAATTTAGAGAGAGAATGAATAATGTTGAAGGTAAAAATCTTTAGCATCATCGACTTTGCTAACTTTAGAGAGAGAAAACGAATTGATACCTAGTCTAATCCTCCCACACTACCATCCACCAACTAATCAATAGCTCCGCCCTAGTACCTTACCTCACTTCTACAGGTAAATAATTGATAAACCTAGTCGATATTCTTCCCAATGGCTATGGCTGTAGCCATCGCGAAGCCTAATGGAGAAAAATTGACCATGCACGTTATGCAAATATCAGCGGATTGAATACAATTAGCAGGCACTAATTGTCATGGGATGAGGTTATTGTTTTAATCAATTAGATGGTCGTGGTAGGTTGCAAGTTTTGGATTTAGGATGGTGGTGGTTTTCAAAAGTTTTGAATGTTAAACTAGGGTGGATGTTGAACTTAAGGGTGGGGTGGGAATAGGGTGAGAATAATATGGCAAGTAGTGAATGTGATTGTTTAATTGTGTGATTTGTGACATATTAACCGTGATTTTATAACTTTATATGATTGTGATTGATAAATTATGTGGCACGTGATTGTAATCCGTAAATTGAGTGGTATGTAACTATGATTGTATCCTGTTGAATTTTACTTATAGGCAACACATCTTTCAAATCACAACATTCGTCAGAGGTTACCAATATCGTCACCTAATTTGTAATTTTTTTCTTTTTGACAAACTTATTAATTTTGAAATCATATTCTTAAACCATTTTAGTTATAATTTTTTTTTTTCAATTTGTTTTCATAATCAAAAGCCCATTAGTCCCAGTAATAATATTTGGCTAGCCCTAAAGATTTCCTCTTGCTATAGGGGGAAAAATCATATTTATGTCATAAAATTAGTAGTGAGCAATTTTTCCAAGAACCGGTGGAACCGGACCGGAACCGTTTAGAATCGGTTGGTTTGGTTCCGGATCTTATAAAAAATAATTTGATTTTGGGACAAATTTTTAAGAATCGATCGATTCCGGTCTGATTCTCGGTTCTAGTATGGAATCATTGGATTTTTTCTTTTTTTCTTTGGTAAAATATATGACTCAATCTCCAACACTTTTATAAAAAATAATCGGGTTCCTTCTTAATTTGAGACTCCAGCACTTTCCTTTTTCTCTTTGATTCTTTCCTTGCCGCTTCTTGTAATTCTTTGATTAATTGATTCTCAAACCAAATTAGAATATTGGGTAAATTTATACTTAAATAAATTTATTTACAATATATAATTTCATTTATAAGATACTAAATTTTTATTTTGTTTTCACTTTGATTACATGATTTTTATTTTGTTTTCACTTTGTAAATTTATACATAAATAAATCTTTGAATAATATATTCTATTTTTCTATATTTTATTAAAAGTATCACGTTGATAGCATTTTTAGAGTTTTTATTAGTAAACATTTTATTTTGACATTTTCAATGTAAAAAATAGGACCGGACCGAATCGAAACCGATTGGTTCGGTTCTATAGTTAGTTATGGAACCAATGGTTCCTTCCTAAAATTCTCATTGGTATTCGGTTCCGTTCGGTTTCATTTGGAATCGGATCGCGTCCACTCCTCCATAAAATAGAGAGAAAAGAAAAGGAATTGGAGAAGTCAATAAACATGTATGTATTTAATCGAAAACCAAATCCCCGTATTTATAAGAAAAAAATAGGGCAACAATGAATAAATGGTAACAGTAACTAGGATTGTAGGAATATAATTGACATTCGTTAATAAACATATTATTTGCAATATTTCCCCTTGAATAACGCATTACCAAATGAATGCCTCGTTAAATTTGTTTGGTAAAAATTCAACGAAAAGAAGTATCAAACAAAGGAAAATAGTATAGTTATTTGAATATTAAAAATAAATACTGACTCTTGAAAACTTTGCTAGGATAAAATCAAGGAAAAAGGAATACATCTACTTCTCTTGACGTTGATCATTAAAAATCTTTAAGTCAACGCATTTCGATTTCGTGAACCAATTTCTTGAATGCAGATGTCGACGGAACTTTTGTAATTAAATTGGTCACATTATTACTTGAGCAAATTTGTTGAACATCAATATTTTCTTTCTTTTGAAGCCCATGCGTATGGAAGAAATTTGAAAAAATATGTTTTGTCATATCATCTTTGATATATACTCATTTGAATTGTCTAATACAAGATGCATTATCTTCATACAAAATTGTCGAACTATTTCTTTTTGAAATTAATTCACTTGATGCTTGGATATGATAGGTCACGTTTTTCAACCATACACATTCTCGACTTGTTTCATGAATTGCAATAATTTAAAAATATTGCATTTAATGTTTGTTTCACAGATTTCTATGATATAGATATTCCTTCATGTATAAATACATATCTTATTTGTGATTTAACGTTATGTGGATTAAAGAGATAACTTGCATCTGTATATCTTATTAAAGTAGATCCCATTTTTTTTTAAGAATAATTGGTAGTGAGAAACTTTGTGTACAGAGAATTCTCTTAAAAAATAAATAGTATTTCCTTCTATATGAATTCTTTCGAACAACTCCAAAATACTTATCACAGTAAATGATGTAAAATTAAAGAGAAAATTACATCCAACAACCCTTTATCTTTCATAATTTCAAATGTATTGGTCTTTCTTTTTCTTTTTCAAAATACAAGACACTGTCTCTACCCAAACACCTCCACCATTGTTGGTGAGCATTCCATTCACCCCATATCAACCCAAAAAGACAGTATAATCTTTACTTTTTTAAGAATCAAGCAATAGGAACATATTTCTGGCTTTCTTTCTGGTTATATATCTGCTTATTTCTTTCTGGTTATATAATACTACCGACGATGTATCTACGATGATATCAAATTTTTGTGGTGGTTTTTGTAAATTGTCCGATATTAATTTTTCTGATTAAAGATATATTGGGGAAATTTTGGGGATTTTACGTTGTTAAGTAATTTAATTAGTTAATACTGTATTAATCAAACTAGTTAAATTTTTAGGGTCTTGGGCCTAATTTGCCAAAATGATTTCTATCAATCCGAATAAGGCCTGAAAATAAACTATGAAACCGAAATACATAATAGAATAATGTTATTTATAGTTGTTCACTATCACAACTGGCAAACACGTGACGGGCATACACGTGACGGATTGACAGATAGTGATTTGATACACAACAAAAAATTATCAGATTAATGTATAACAGCCCATTAAAACTTTCAGAAATAACTCGTTAGCTGTTTGAGGAAAAAAATATGGATAAAGATAATTAGACGGGGGCGCCTGCCCAATATCGAAAAACGTTCGGGTAAAAACTAAAACCAAAACCAAAATCAGAAAATTAAACAAGACGAAGAAGAAAACATCCAGAGAGCGAAAGAAGTGAAAATTTTTGATTTTAGCAAATGGCTGAGGAAAACAAATTGAAGATTCCACCACAGTACGATTTGAATGCCAAGTGGGATGCTTGTCTCGATTTGGGTGTCCGCCGATTCGTCTATTCTTCATTGGCCGGTGCCTTCACCGGCCTCCTCCTCTTCCGTGAGTTTTTTCCCTTATTTTTTTTTATACATTTTTTGGTTTCTTTTAATTTGTGTTTTGTGTTTGTTTTTGTTATATTATATTATATTATTTTTTGTTTGCGGAAATACTGGGATTTTATAAACATATTGATGGGAAATGAAAATCTAGAATAAGAAATTACGATGACGTAATTTAGTTTTAACAGATTTTCTTTGTAGATTTGTAAGTTGCGTTTAAAGTATAGTATTAGAACTTTCGGAATTAGGTATAGTGATATTACTGCCTGATGTGTTGTAAGTGGCTGGTCAAATTACCTCCGGATGTTTGAGAAATTGTATTAATATGAATGGATAAGGATGGACAGATGCAGGCTCCCAGTTTTACAATAAGAAAGAAGCATATAAATGAAGGATAATGTAGCACGAGTCTTTATTGATGAGCCTGAATATTTGATATATCAAAGACGATGAATAAGAACACATATGTAAATATCATTTTCTTATCATGATTTCCATTTGCTTCGTGCTTTAGTGCTGTATATAAATTGCATTAACATTTTTCCCCCTGGAGACTAAGAAGCATAGTTGGTGAAAACTCTTGAGTCTTTCATATAAAGAATGATTGTTTTGTCTTTAATAGTGTTAAAAATGACATTCAAGATCCAAATGGAAAATTAACCCTTGGAATGACATCACCAACAACGTATTAGTGTCTCATTATCGTGTACAAAACTAAGTACTGCCAAGGAACATTGATGAACACAAGAACCCGGACAATCACTTAAGTTAAAGTGAAGCCATTACGTTGGATCGAAGCAACAAGATAAGTAGCCATTAGTATAAATGACAGCAAAATATAAGCATTAGCGCACAGGAATATGCCAAATTTGATACACTCCCTAACCTTTACATCGATGTTTATCAGGGACGGGTTAGGTCGCTTCAATATCAAAACCAAATGTTGGTTGTTTTTCCTTGGCTTATCGAACTAGCGTATGCCCATTCCTCCTTTGATGACTCCCAGTAGAGAAAGCCTAAATTTGTCAATGTGATTTGAAAGGAATATCCACTTTAGTCACCCCACGCTGCATATGTATAGTAACACGACGAAACTTTGTTGTGCTCACAAAGATACGCACACTAACTGCTTGGTGATGAAACTTTTTCAACATTTCATATGCATTTCAAATGCAATTAAAATCAATGTCTCTTCACCTAAATACCTAAACAGACACAAACAAACAAAAGCAATATACATGAAGCCATTTATTTTCGAAAATCAAGTTTTGTTTGGACAAATCAACAGAATAGTTGCTTATAGCGTGAATTTAATTTAACCTTTTTATTGAGCAATATATGTGAAGCCATTTATTTTCGAAACATTGATACTTTTGTTTGTCTCCTTTAGTATGTTCAAAGTAATAATTTTGCTGTGTATTGCATTTATTGTATCTGTTAAATGCTGATTCCTGATTGTTTACAAGGTAGAATGTATTTACCATGGTAGGGAAAGAATTTATCCTGATTGCACTGCACCAGATTACGGTTTTATGTATAGAATAGAAATAATTCTCACTTTTTCATCGGTCCAAAGTTAATTCTTCTAATTTCACAATTAAAATACTCTCTAAAGTATCTTTATCTGGTTCTTTTACTATGTATATGTGTAGCTTCATGTAATTTGGTCGTGGATCAATAGTGTACCATAACATACCAAACTCTGTTTGTGTCTCAGTTTAAGTATGAATTCAAACTTCTTTGCTTGCCTCACAGACAATGCAGTTTATCAATAGTATCTGTACAATCCTGAATTTGTTGCATAATAAGTTATTATGGCCACAATTAATTTGGGTTTTTGAATTGGAATGGGGTTTAGGCATTAGCTGAGAAGGTGATGACTTTTATTTTTACAAATTTCTCATAAAATCACTAACCATAGTGGTAGAATCCCACCTGCTTAGACCGGAAGTAACTCTCAAATGCAGTGAAATGAATGATTTATTGCTGAATTCAGATGAAGGAAAACAGAAAAGATACAAGTTTAGGGCTATTTGAGAGGCCCTGTCTCTCCTCCCTATTCTCAACAGAAAACCAGAATTTTCATGCCTCTCCCGCCTACTGCCCCTCCCTATTTATTTACTTTCCTATAACAAATTATTACATTTTTACCCCTCACTAACAAACTCAACTGACTTGGCCTAATCTTTATGATCATTGCTCTTCTTTCTTCTAGCATAGGCGAACCAAATCGGGGTCCTATCACAAAGCCTTTCACATCATGTGCTTTTAGAAGGGGACTTTTGGCGATAAAAAAATAATTTAGGGAAGTTGAAACTTTTATGTCCCAATAAGGAAATAAACACTCAATTTTGTTGAGAGAGAGTGTTAAATTTATTTAAAATAGCTCTGTAAAAGGTTATACCATTCAGTATTTTGACATATTCATTTTACCAAATATCAGACCAGGGAAAAACTGTAAGTTTATATTATTTATGATCTTATGAATCCTTGTAAAACTTGTTTCCTGCTGTTAAATTGGATTGTTGGACTGATCATTTGATATTGACTGATATGCCAGGAAGTCCAGTTACACGCTGGGCATCAGTAGCTTTTGGTGCTGGAGTGGGTATTGGTTCTGCATATAAAGAGTGCTCTCTGAAGTTTGATGGATCTTCACCAAAATTGACTCCAAAGGTTTCTGATGCCCCAGTTTCTAAGGTAGAGTTATCTTTAATGTTTGTAGCATTTGTGTTCATCAAAAATTAAAAATAAAAAGGAGAGTTCCGTGTTCATTTTGAAATATGACTGGTCATGCCTGGCAGTAGTCAAATTGTATTATTCCAATCTAATCCGTGGTAGTTCTTCAATGCTGGATGTTATCCTATATTCGTTGTTTTAGAGTAAAGAAGCCAAGCAGGGCTGATTGCTCAAAGGCTACAACCTTAGCACTGTTGAGACTTATTTTACACTTTAATAAAATAAATAAAAGTTCTAGGTCAAAAATAGAAAATGCCAAAAGAAAGAAAGCTGACCTAGAAAATGTTCTAATCTACCTTAGTATCTGCACCCTCGCTGCAGGAGCTCGTTAGCTTTTGACTAATAAGATAGAAAAGATCTTTGGTGAATTTCATAGGTTTTCATGCTCGCTAGTAATTAGTCTTATAGAGATTTTTCTACTTTGTAGAATTTAGAGCTTCAAAGTCTTATTTTATATTGTGGATGAATGACGAAGATTTGGTTTTTTTAGTGCGGGCATCATAGTGCTAGTATATACATATTTTCAGTTGATAAAAGGATGTGAGATATGTTCAAGTAGCTGTGTGCGTATAGGCAGTCTACACTGGTTCAATACCTGAATTTATAGTTTAGACAGTTGATTGACCCTTAACACTCATTTTTGCATCTTTATGTGACCTTTTTTGTCTATTTGTAGCTTTGTTTTCTTTTCTTCCTCTTCCTCATCTCTTTAGGGTCTGCTTTTTCAGTATTCTTGCCCTTCTATACTCGTGTATCATTTGACATGTTCTAAACTTGCATTAGAGAGAACATAGTCTAGTTTATGTGTTAGGTTATAAATAGTCTTGAGCATATTCAACTGTCATGCGACAGTTACAATAACCACCAAAATTGACAGTGTATTAACATCTCAAATAAAAACCAAATCTCGAACTTGACAATTTCATCAATACAAGAACCAAATCTCATACAGGAAATTTTTAGGGTGAATCGTGTGACTTGCCTCATTCTATGAATATGAATCTAAAAGAGTTTCACATTCTTTTCTTTCTTTTCACAATGTGACGTTTCAATCTTTTTCATGACATAACCTTGATATGTGGCGCCATCTGTTGGACAACATAATTGAAATAATTAAAGGTATTTAATTTTATGCATGTATCTTATTTTAATTTCTAAGAAACAACATAACCACCCATAATATTTATTTTTGACTCCCAGCAACAGCTTTTGCCCGATGTGATCATGAGAACAGGAAGAAATTGATAATCACTTTGTTTTAAGTTAATTTTTCTGTATCTTTTAGTTTTTGCTCATGACTATTGTATTTTCCTATTGAGACCACATGAACAGGAAAAATCTTAAGCACTTTACCGTGACATTTTTCTTAGACTCAAGATCATATAATCTTTAAACTCTACAGAGTTGGAAAAAATTCTCAAGTAAATTGCAATATGCAATTATATTCTTGCACACATCATCATATATGAATTTGCCTTTAATGAATCATATGCTTCAATGCTCTACAAGGTTTCTGATATCTTGTGCTCCTGGTCTCTTTTTTTGGTTCTCCTACATCTACAGAAAGCTAAATGCTTTCTCATATAGGGCTAATGATAAGGGAGTAGTTAAGAGGCTTTCCAATATCTTCTTGTCATCCCCCCCACCACCTCTTTTTTTTTTTTTTTTTTTTTTTTTTTTAAAAAGGGGGGATTTT